TTACTCTAAGATTGATCTTCGCACGGGGTATCATCAGCTGCGGATTAAGGAGGAGGATATTCCTAAGACTGTTTTCCATACCCGGTATGGTCATTTCGAGTATACGGTGATGCCATTCAGATTGACTAATGCCCCTGCAGCCTTCATGGATTTGTTGCACAGAGTCTTCCGGCCTTACCTCGATCAATTTGTCATTGTGTTTATTGATGACATATTGATTTACTCACAGACTCAGGAGGAACATGCTCGTCATCTCTCTATTGTGCTACAAACATTGAGAGAACATAAGTTATATGCGAAGATGAGCAAGTGTGAGTTTTGGATGAAGGAAGTGAAGTTCCTTGGCCATGTTGTGTCCGAGCAAGGAGTAGCGGTTGATCCCGCAAAGATTGAGGCTGTGATGAAATAGGAACCACCGAAGAACGTAACAGAAATACGGAGTTTCTTGGGATTAGCCGGCTATTATCGTAGGTTTGTGGAAGGATTCTCCAAGCTTGCGATGCCGATGACTCGCCTTACAAAGAAGGGGGAGAAATTTTTGTAGACTCAAGTGTGTGAACTAGCTTTTCGCACCTTGAAGGAGAAGTTGACGACGGTACCTATCCTCATTATTCCGAGTAGTGGGGAAGGCTACGATGTCTACACTGATGCTTCACTACGAGGCTTGGGATGCGTTCTAATGCAAGGAGGGAAGGTAGTGGCGTATAGCTCGAGGCAACTCAAGGTGCATGAGCAGAATTATCCCACACACGGCTTGGAGCTGGTTGCGGTGGTGTTTGCTTTTAAGTTGTGGAGATGTTATTTATACGGGAAAAAATTTCAAGTGTTCTCAGACCATAAAAGCCTCAAGTATATCTTCACATAGAAAGACTTGAATCTCCGGCAGAGAAGGTGGATTGAGTACTTGGAAGATTATGAGTTCACGCTCAACTACCATCCGGGAAAGGCCAATGTAGTTGCCGACGCTCTTAGCAGAAAGTTTCAGGGTGAAATTAATTTTCTTGCGGTAAATAGGTGGAAAATGTTTGATGCATTGGAGGAGTACGATCTATGGGTGGATGGACCGGAATATCAACCATATCTATTCAACCTTGTAGCTCAACCAACGCTTTGGCGACAGGTAGTGGAGTTGCAATGCCTGGATTCGAAACTCAATTGGATTAGAGCCCGATTGGAGAATGGAGAGGCGATTGAAGGATGGTCTTAGAAGAATGGAGAGTTGAGATATGGGGAGAAGCTATGTGTTCCCGATGATTCGTCTCTAAAGGAGGATATACTGGGAGAGTGTCATCGCTCCAAGTTTGCTATCCACCTCGGTAGAGTGTCATTGCATTTAATGTCTCTATTTGTATCCTAAATCAAAATATAAGAATAATGAGTACTTTTAGACTTCAAATAAGTATAAAACGTTTTAAGAAACACCCTTTATCACCTTTTATTTGCAAATATCGCAAAATTTCATTAATAGCCGATTCGGATGGGTAAAATAGAAACTTTAGTGTTTCGTGTGTACGTTGACTTGAGTTTTGAGATAAATCATAAAAATAAATGTTTTTAGGTTAAAATAACATTAAAAATGAATCCAGAACGTCGACAAACTTTAGGGTAGTCATATGGATCAAATTGGAGATTCTTAGTGGTAAAACCGTAAATTTGGAGAAATCCAAAACAGCCCGTGAACAGTGTTTTTCGGGGCTGCTATGTTTTAAACTCATTTTCATCTCATTTGCTCTCATTTCCTTCACTCCCCTCACACCCCCACACCTCTTGAAACCCTAGAGTGCATTAGAAAAGAAGAAAGGAAGGGAAAAACAAGAGATTCAAGGGTGTGATTCAAGATTAAATATTCTTGTTCTTCACTCCAAAGCTAAGGATTCAAGGTAGGGGTTTTCTCTCATTCACTTACATTGAGGCTAGGGTATTTATATATGTATGTTTTGGCTATCAATGGTATGTATATGCTATAGAATCATCCTCTCTTAGGCTTTTTGAAAGGATTACATGTTTTGAACAAAGTAGGGTTTAATACCCATGAAATCTCCTTTCTAGTTTTAAAACCCTAATTTTTGGAGAGTGATGTATTTTCCTTCCTAAATGCTTTCTTTATTATGGATTTCGAAACCTTAGTGCTTTGTGTTGGGTAGAAAAATGATGTTATTGTGATCTCATGTATTTTCTTAGTTGGTTGTGGAATTGTTATATGATATATTTTGGGAATTTTGGATAGATGCTTGTAAATTGAGATAAATGTTGGAATTGTATGCTTGGTTGGGTTGTTTATGATGCACATGAGTGAGAGATTCCTTGTAAGGATGCTCACCCCTTCCCAAGAGGTTCCCGGTAAGGATGCTTGAAAAATAATGTAGTGATTGGTGAGAGGTTCCATGTAAGGATGCTCATTCATTTTTAAGAGGTTCCCGGTAAGGATGCTTGAGAATCAAAGGTGACCTAAAGGGAGGGTGGAGGTTACCACAAAGTATGCCACCTACCGAAAGAATTGTTGAAAATTGGTTATGACAATTAATGGTTATTATTTGTATGTGGTGCTCATTTATTCATTTAAGTAATGTTTTTAAATAAACTTGAGATCTTTTATAAATGTCACTGCTTTATTTCAAATTATATATCTATGTTATGTTAAAATTGAGACCGACCGTTTTAAATCCTTTTCTAAACCTTGTATGAGTTTGGGAGAATTTTTCTACAGAGCTTCGTGCTCACCCCCTATCGCTAACATTTTTCAGATTACCTGCTTGAGGAGGAGGACGTAAGGGTCGAGGAGCCCACTACTTGGGAGACTCCACTGGACGAGAGTGTGGATCCCGAGGTGGACGCATAGAGCGACCTATTTTCCTTTTGTACTAGACTAGGACATTCTTTTGGAGCATTGTGTAGTCTAACTTCTTTTGTTTATTCCGCTGCGCTTCTTTAATTAATTTTTGAGATGTAATAGCCATGACTTGGGCTTATTCTTTTGGATAATGTTGTAAATATTCGTGGATGACAAATGAAGTCTTGTTTCTTAAGGGATTATATTAGTGCTCTCATGATATGAATGATTTTAGAATGTAATGCCATCCAGGATGTGTTTTGGGGTGTTATATCGATTTACTTAAATTATTCATGGCTTTAAAAGACTCTAAGTGTTAGTGATAGGTGAACATATGACTAAAGGTTAGTTAAACCCTAATCCCTTAAAAGATGCCGACGGCCAAATGAGAGAAAATAACCCAATGTGGTCAAATCTAAAAAGGTGAGCCAAAAATAATTAGCTAAAAACAGTGGCAGTTGAATTGTAAGAGTACTTATGCTTAATTGAAAATTGCTCATTTATAAATTTCATAGAGATCATGTTAATCATGCTTAGTAGCATACCTTTAAAGTACAGAGTTTACAATCATGTTGATAAAAGCCAAATAGCAGAATGGATAATAGAAAGGACGAGTTATCAAAAAGAGGAATATTTAGGACACTAACTCATGGTTTTGTAAGTTCTCAGAAGCAATTTTAGAGTTTTGTCTTCTTAGATGTCAGACAGACCACTCTGTTTTCCATAAACATATGCTTTCTAGATACATTAAACTGGTTGTTTATGTGAATGATATTGTCATTATTGGTTATGATTCTGAGGGTATTGTAAAGTTGAAAGTCTTCCTCTAGGATCGATTCCATACTAAAGACCTAGACAAACTCATATATTTCTTGGGATATTGAAGTTGCTAGCTCTAAGCGGGGCATTTGTTTGTCTCAGGGAAAGTATGTGCTCGACATGCTAACAGACGCAGGTTTACTAGGTGGTAGATCAATTAATGTTCCTATGGATCCGAATCAGAAGCTGTTGATGGATGATGATGCATTGTTTAAAAATCCAGGTAGGTATCACAAGTCGGTTAGAAAGCTAAATTATCTCACTATTACCCAACCAGATATTGCATATGCAGTTAGTGTTGTGAGCCAGTTTATGGGATGCCCAAGAATACCACATTGGGATGCGTTCATTCACATTCTTTGATATCTTAAACGTCCTCTTGGACTTGGGTTATTATATTGAACTAATAGGCATCTTAAAGTGAATTTTTACAGATGTTGATTGAGCTAGCTTCTTTCTCGGATTGAAGATCAACCACTAGATATTATACCTTCTTGGGAGGTAACATAGTTACATAGAAAAGTAAGAAGCAAATAGTAGTAGTGCGGTCCTGTGCTGAGGCTAAGTATAGGTTGATGACACATACTACTAGTGAGTAGATAATCAGCCAATTATTCATATTGCAGCTAATCCCCGTATTCTACGAGAAAACGAAACATATTGAAGTTGATTATTACTTCATTCGAGACAAGATATTTGATCAAGACATTGCAACACTATTTGTGAAATCTGAATATCAGCTTATAGATATATTCACTAAAACATTGAACTGCATTCGTCTTACAACAATTTGTTCCAAGATGGGATTATATAGTATATATACTCCAACTTGAGGGGAGCATTGAGAGTATTATTATTATATTCTATATAGTTGTAATAAGTATACCTCTCTAAAAGTATACTAGTCTTTCTATGTTTTATTAGATAACTATAAATACCAATTGATAGTGAGAGGTAGGGTAAGTTACACTACTCTCTGCCTTTCTCATATTGTGTGAAGTCATTCCATTCTCTAAACCTAACAACAATAAATAAATCATTGCACCAAACATGTGCTGGAATTCCAAGCACCTGAATCTATATATTCTCCATTGCCACACTTCTTCCACGTACACATCCAGTCCATTGTACCCATCTATCAAGAAACAAAAAGAACCTTCTAAAGACCAATCTTGCAAATACAAAATCCCGTTGCTTCTACTAGTTAATGAAAAACAAACATAAAGAGTGAATTGGTCATTGGAATAACTTTGAGGCCAATCGACTCCCATTTTGAGTTTGCCTATCGAATTACTTTCTCAATCGGTGGCGCTTTCGAATTAAGTGAACCAAATCTCCCTACTAAACTCCTTTAAATCTTCACACCTGACCATACTCGATGTCGCATCCATATTGAACACTCCATTTTTGCTGATAATACTAAAGAAGACACGATTGGCCTTCCTCCAATCTTTGCGGCCTTCAAAAAGGATTTCATGGTGATTTCGATGACAAGGTGGTCTGTTTCTGGAACATCGGGGAATCGAATTATAATATAGAAGCAATGATAGGTGGTTGAAGAATCAATTCTAAAGTTCTACATCTGAAAAGAAATCATCGAGTCTAGTGATATTTGCAGAGTGGGAATATCTCTTTTAGTGCTGCTGAAACATTTCGAGAATGATTGGAGCTCTGTCCTTTAATTTTCTGTTTCCCATCAAAAGGTAGGAGGAGAAGCCAAAGTGGGGACAGGTAACTGGAAGGAGGTTTGACTGAGGTTGAGGGATGCCTAATAGGGGACTAGGGGGGATTTGGTGAGAGAAGGAGAAGGCACCAACTCGAGGGGAGTTTTAGATGGACATTTTTGATATTTATGCTTTAGCTTGAGAGGGGGTGTTAGAGCTCTTATTTCTATATTTACTATTTATGTAAGGTAATATTGTAATTACACAACATAGTGTTTAATATAAATAAGAGAGTGTAAGGCAACATTGCTCTCACAGCTGATTACTCTCTTTTGCTTTTTCTCCACTCTTTCTTTTTTCTCTCTCATTTCTCGAACCATAACATTCTATTTACTATTTTAACTGTTGCTTTTATCATGTGTGAATTGGATTTTTGAGTTGGTGATCATATTTTACTCTTTTTTGCGGTCCACTTCCTCAGGTTTCATTATTCTCTTACTTTACGTTAAAAATATGATTATTATAGGTGATGAAAACTATTGAAAAATCAATTTTAGGATCATTTTAACATGAAATATTTGGGTCAGCTACAATATTTATTGGTGATTGAGGTACTTCCTCTCCCAAAAGTTATCTCTTCTCTCAGTCTATATATGCATTGAATGTTATTCAACAAGCTCGACTATCAGATAATTGAAACACCCTTAGAGCTCATTGTTCATTATTTTTCCCGTGATGGTACTCTCTTGTCTGATCCTACCCTCTACAACATTATTGTTGGGAGTTTGGTATATCTTACAATTATTCGCCCAGATATCTTTTATGTTGTCCATGTTGTTAATGAGTTTAGTTGTCCACCTACTATTGTTCACTAGACTATTCTCTGTATTCTTCAGTATCTTCAAGTTACTTTGTATCAGAGTCTATTATTTCCTCCAAACTCTTTTATGGAAATCAAGGCTGCTCTGTTAATTGGGTTAGTGACTCTATGAATTACAAGTCCATCACTGGATTTTGTCTATTTCTTACTAATTCTCTTATTTCTTAGGGAAGAAAGAAGCAAACTGTTATTATTCGTTTTTTAGCTGAAGTTGAGTATCATGCTATGATATCTACCCTAGTTGAAATAGTTTATTTACGATTGTTACTTGCTGACCTTGACATCTCTTTATCTACTCCTACCCCTATGTGTTATCATAATACTAGTGTCATGCAAATTGCTCACCCTAGTCTTCTAAGAGCATACAAAGCGCATTAACATTGACCGCCACTTTGTGCGCTATCATATTCAGTTGAACACGATCTCTCTCCCCTTTCTTCCTTCTACTATGTAGTTAGTGAATTTCTTTACGAAATCTCCTACTATAGCGCACTTTTCGTTTTCTTCTTGACAAATTCTTAATGTTCTCTACTACTACATCATGAGTTAGAGTATTCTAGTGTAGTTTAGTCGTCTACTTTATTTTTTGTTGCCCTACTATATAAGACCCTCCATTCTGTATCTTAGGTTAAACAAACTAATTGTGATGTAATAATTTTTTATTTTTTTCCTTTCTCTCTTTTTTTTTATCAAAGTTAACAATAATAACCATAAATTCAGGAGAGAGAGAGAGAGAGAGAGACTGCAGAAGAGACTTATTAGCTTAGCTTGAACTTTTCCACATAGAAGGTTTTTGTGTAGGAAGATGACCAGATGCAGATTAAAAATGAAATTTTGGTCTGTTGAACAACTTTGAGATGAATAAGACAGGGTCCTCAATAAAATCAGTTAAATATTTGTTGAAAATTTAGCATGTAAAATAGTACAAACCACACAAAACATAAAAGCAAAAATAAACTGAGAAAACAGTAACAATCACCACACCAAAAATAGTAAAAGAATAAATTGAAAAATTCTTTCATGCCAATAGACAAAGCATGACATAACATAACACTCCGTAAAGTGCCCATATTGAGGAACTGACTCTACCTGGTCTGACGCCAAAATCTTTCATAAACTAAAAAGTAGGCAATGTTGATAAGCTTAAATTTTCTTGCACTTGCTCGTGCCAAGGTTATATGACATGTTAGATAAGAATCTTCTATTTATTCTAGGCAACAATTAAAACAAAGAATTAGCAGCATATATGACCCTCCTCCATTGAATCTACATAATATCAAAAGCCTGGGATTTATCAGGTAATTATGTTTTAAATGTAATGCCAAGCAAATAAAAGTATAGCTGCAAGGCCACCATTTTAGGAAATCATACAACACACACACACAACCAGAAGAATTCTGAAGTTAGCGTTATTTGAATTATTTCATCTGATTCACCATAAGACAATTTAGCATTATTCAGTACCATGCAAACATAAGATTATATTGGACAAGCTAAGCATTATTAGCATGACTGTGGATAATGATAACAACTCCGACAATATGGTTAAGATAAGGTCACAAGGTATCTTACCATTCTTCGATCAACCATTGAGCATCCATCTGCACACAGCAGAGTTGGAAACGTATCAAATCCCTCCGACAAACACAGGGTCAGTATAAGCCTCATCCCCTTTTGGCACTCTGCTGTATCAGCAAGAGTTAGATCTCCAGTAGATTTTGTATACGCACGGAGCAAAATTATCCACCAGAATCCGGAGTCAACTGGAGCAACTCTTCCAATTGCACTCTCACCGAAATCTGCTATTATAGTATCTGTTTTACGAACAGGATCATGAAGAACTTTGAAACTAGCTGGCATTACCCCTTCCCCAAGCTTGAATCTGTCTATTGTTTTTTCCCATCCTTGAAGCTGAAGTGTCTTCAATAGGAAATTTTTAACTATATCTGGTTCCCCATTCATTAGAAAAGCCAGAGCACTAGGTACAAAATCCCGTACAAAAACCTACACATTAAACAAAATCAAGCAAACATTTTAAAACTTCAGCAATCCTAATATCAAAATGACCAAATTTTCCTATCTTATCAGAGCTAGGATTGAACATTCACCAGATCAAATGTTGCTTCATTTTAAATGACAATATCATCATTAATGTCTTTTTTTTTTTGATAAGAAAACAAACTTTCATTTCATAGAAAGTGAATAACATATATAGATGGCGGATAAGAAATCCACCAAAAAACAAAAGAAAAACAACAAAAATAAAATGAAACTAGCTCGAGTTGCTTTCCAATTATGTTGTAAGACTGATAGATAAATGTCTGTAAACTGATTTGAAGCCTTCGCCCAAAGAGAAGGTAAAAACTTCACTCCGTTCCACAATTCTCTATCCTCCTACATGCTCTCAAAAATTTTGCGATTTCTCTTCAACCAAATCACCTACATAACAGCCATTAAAGCACATCTCCATAATGTTGAAGCTTTTTTTCCCCTTCCAAAACCTTTTAAATGCATCACATTAAGAGATGCACAATCACGAGGAATAACCCACATCAAATTTGCTTCTCGCAAAAGCTTATACCACAAAAACATAGCTATAGGACAATGAAGAAACACGTGATCAGTACTTTCATTACTCTCTTTAACACCAATTAAGGGAAAGGTAACGGTTGGGCCGTTTTTTTGCAACAAATCGCAAGTATTCACCTTTGGGCAATAATCCAAACAAGCACCTGCACCTTAACTGGCAATTCAACCTTCCAAATCATCCAATGAGGTTCAAAAAGTGAATCATTATTGGCATCAATCAAATATTGAAAATAGGAGCTACAAGAAAAGAATCCAGAAGAATTAAAAGACCAAACACTTTTATCACTAACCGTAGAGAATCCAATTGAACTAAATTAATAAAGGGAAGAAGAGGAGTCAACTCCAATGTTTCCTAATCATTAAGAATACGGAAAAAAAATTGAAATTCCCCCCTTGTGAGAAGAAAAAGAACAACAGATGCATTATGAGACCTTGATAATATATACAAGTTAGGCAACATAGAAGCAAAAGAAGACTCACCCTTCCACGTATCCTCCCAAAGACAAATTCTCTCCCCATTCGCCACTCTCACAACAATACGCTTTCAAAACATCTCCAACCCTTGAAAAATGAATTTTCAAGACTATGAAAAGGACCTCTACTCACCACATTGCAATCCCATCCATTGGTATGGATTTCATATTTACTTTTGATAATAGAATGCCACAAGGAATTAGTCTCTAATTGAAATCTCCAAAGCCAATCTCCTAACAAAGCTATATTCCTTTTAATCAAGTTGCCAATTGACAATCCACCTTTAGATTTAGATTTTGACACAACTTCCCATCTTACTGAGTGATCTTTCTTCCCTTCCCTAAATCTTTCCCAAAAAAAATCTCTTATCATCTTCCCAAAATCTGTCACTTTTTTAGGCAACTTAAAGAGCCTCATAAAATACGTAGGAATACTTCCCAAAATTGCTTGCGTCAAAGTAAGCCTCCCTCCCCTAGATAAACACAATTTTTTCTAACCATTTAACTATTTTTGAACCATTTGCACAGCTGGATTCCAAAAATTTAAGGACAAAAGATTACCTCCCAATGGAAGGCCAAGATATTTTAATAGCCACTCACAAATTTCACATCCCATCTCCTGCCCTGACCAAACCTTCAGCTTTACCCCTAAACACATTAATGCCTACAACGGAACTCAAAGCCATATTCACTTTCAGCCCTGAAACCAAATTAAAAGTATTCACAATGTTAACAATATTAAGGAATTTTTGCTCATCTCTTGATAAGAAAAATATGGTGTCATCACCAAATTTAAGATGAGGAACATAAACTATATCATCACCTACTAAAAACCCTTCCACTAGACCATACTCCATTCCTTTATCCACTAATTTACTCAACCCACAGTGTAAAGAGAAATGGTGAAAGCAGATCACCAGCCTCAACTCCCTCAAAGCATTAAATCTTCCCCTTGGTTTACCATTGACAATCACTAAAATTCATAGAAGATAAACATCCCCCAATCCACTTTCTCCATCTAGTCTCAAAATCCTTCACTTTTAAAACAAAATCCAACAAACCTCAATCCATGTGATCATAAGCCTTTTCAAAATCAATCTTAAAAACAACCCTTTCCTTTCCCTTCACTCTATATTCCTCAACTACTTCATTGGCCACCAAAACACCATCTAAAATTTGTCTCCCCATAACAAAGGCACTCTAATTTCTAGAAATTGTATCCCCCAAAATCTCCCTTAATCCTTTTAACACCACTTTAGCAAGAATCTTGTATAAACTGGTAACCAAACTTATCGGTCTAAATTCCCCAATTTTCAAAGAGTTATGTTGTTTAGAAATCAAACAGATAAAAGTAGCATTATATTAACATTCACCACCCCATTCCTATAGAACTCTTGGAAAACCTTTATCAAGTCATCTTTCATCAAATCCCAACAATCTTAAAATAAGGCCATAGTGAAACCATCCGGCCCAGGAGATTTATCTCTAGGACACTAAAAAACTGTAGTTTTCACTTTATTTTCCTCAAATGGTATCTCTAACCAATTAGCTTTGTTAATCCCAATTGGAAACCATGCCAATCCCACAACTAGTGGCCTCATCACATCTTGAGCTGAATAATCTTAAAGTATGTAATGATCTCTTCCTCAATACTCCTTTCATCCTCAATCACCAAGTCATTACCAATCTCAAGCTTAGCTATTAGATTCTTCTTCCTTCTCCATCAACTCTATGAAAAAACAATTGCAATCTCCCTCTTCAGCCCATCTAACTTTAGCCTTTTACCTTCAAATAATCTCCTCTTAAAACACCACCTCCTCAAATTTACGCCTTAACTCTGATCTCTCCCTTCTCAACTGATCATTTGAATCTCCCACCATATCTAGCTTAGAAATATGATTCAAAATCATACTCTTTTCCACTCTCACACCACCAAAAACTTCTTTATTCCATACCTTAAACCTCTGTATGACAGGCTCAAAGGAAATCCTCCTCCTTGGACTTCTGTTCATACATCCATTGTTCAACAAGTCAAGTAGTTCATCAAAACTTTGTCTTGACTTGATATTCCCTCGGTTGATTCTTTCAAAATCATCCAAACTAATGCCTTCGACATTGGCTACGGTGGTATCCTCCTTCAAAAGCTCACTCCAGACTCCCCAGAGCAAATTGTTCGTTTCCACTCTGGTATATGGAATAATGCACAAAGGAACTATAGTACTATTAAAAAAGAGATTTTATCTATTGTCCTATGTATCTCTAAATTCCAGGATGATATTCTAAATCAAAAATTTTTAGTAAGAGTTGATTGCAAATCTGCAAAATATATTTTGAAAAATGATGTACAAAACATTGCTAGTAAGCAAATTTTTGCCAGATGACAGTCTATTTTAAGTATTTTCGATTTTGACATCGAATATATTAAAGGCAGTAATAACTGCATACTTGATTTCCTAAACCGTGAATTTTTACAGGAACCTCATGGCGGACAGAAAAATTAGTAAGGCTAGTACCTCTTCTAAAGCCGGGAGAGATACTGCAAAAACCAAAACCCAGTTAACCTTGCCAAGCCCAGTAGTCTTGTCAAGCCCAATCCAAATTGTTAATCGTTACCAACCTCTTGGTAAACCTAACCCAGTAAGACCAGTGGTCCAGTCTACCTTGGTAGCCCCATCCACTTTTCTTCAGATGGCCCAAAAAGAACCAGCTAGTTCTTCAAGCCCACAATTAGTTGCCCCAAGTCAACTAGTTGTTCTATACCCAGTTTCTAAACCCAAATCAACTTTCATAGCCCACACAGGCCCAAAAGTTGACTATGTCAAAAAAGGTGAACCCATTACAGTGTTTGCCATTGAACCTATTCATGCTCACCTAAGCAACCCAAAAGATATAGTAAATATTTATCTAGAACCAGGATGGAACTTTATCCCATCTGATCCGGAGAAAATATTTACTTTTTATCAGGATATATTATTCTTTACCCAGTCTATTCATATCAAACCCATATTTAATAGGAATGACCCAAGTAACGTAATATATCATTCATTATATATTTTAAAGTTCATCTCTCTCAAAGAATGGGGATCTTATCCTTTTTTGCTCAAAGATCTCGAGGGATATGAAAAGAAGTTTAATTACTATGATTATATTGAATCATGGAATAAGCTTCTCCTCTATCAGGATGAGTCATTAACTCATTTCTGGTTCATTCAATTCGATAAGAATTTCAAAAGCCAGATCCGTGCCTGGTTTGCACAGTGGTGGCTTCTTCATGGCCCCATACCTGAAATTCTACTCCTGGACCTACAAGATCAGGTCACTTATTTTGCCTCTATTTTTAAACCTAATTTTTATGACATAACTCTTTTCACGAGTCTGTTAATATTTTTCAGCAAATATAAAATTCCCTGGATTTACAAATGGTCTTGGAAAATTTGTTCTAACTTTGTTTGCAGGCAATCTAGTGTAAAATGGTAGCCAAGGTTCCAGCATGATCGCATTATTGCCCAAGTAAAACAGGAGTTTCCTGTAAAGATCCTAGCACCAGTTACAGTATCAATTGTTGCTACAATCCTTCCAGCAATAACTCCACCACCAACAAAGGCTATGCCAGCCCTCAGGATTTCCACTCCAGAGCAGCCTCAGGCATCTGAAAAGCTTTCAAAAGCCAAAACCAAGCAGAAAAAGTCCTCCTCTAAGGACTCTCCTAAAGTTTCAGGCTCCTCCAAGCAGCCTAAACCGAAGTCTTCTGAGCTCATTGCTATTGCTAAGAAGCTTCTTCAACGAGCAGTCAGTAGTGATTCGTCTTCACTAGCATCCTCCACAGGCTCAGTCATCCCATACGCCAATATGGATCCAGATGCTAAGATCCATATGCTGATTGTGATGACCTCACCCCTAACCTGGCCTCTCCATGATTCTTTTCCTTATGCGTGATAGCTT